AAAAAAAAAATTAGCTGCTTTTAATCTTCAGGTTAATATTAATTGCTTTCTCTGTTTTGATTTAATGGAATTTGAGACTAATTCTAATTAGATAACCAACGGAATTAGTGAAGTATTTAGAAAAAAAAATTTTTTTTTTCATTTGTCTTTTTTTCTCTTTGAAATTATATAAATTTTTTTGTTGTTTTTGTTTTCAGTCATAAGATTAGATTAATTATTGGCTAATTAAATGGTTGACAGTTTTTTTTGCTTCTGCTGTTACTTAACGATAGTGACAATGATAGTTCAGGTATACGGCTGTTGCTGTTGTTACTGAATCAGAACTGTTGTTGCGTTGCTGTCAAAAGTCGATTTTTGAACTCGTAGTCTTTCAACTTTATACTGCATTATCCACTTCAGTAAAAGTTTACTGTACTGTTTAACCTGTCATCTAGTAGGACACCAGTTTTTTTTTTGCTCAGACTAAAAGATGATAAGCATTCAGTTGGAATCATTGTTGAATGATGAGCGCTTGATGGTTACAGTTTATAAACAGCAATAGTTTTTTATTTGTCTTTGGAACTTAGCTGACTGCACCTATTTCTAGTTTTTTTTTTTTTTTGCCAAATTCCACAAAAACGTTAAACCGGTAGAACTATGCTCTTTGGCCTCATAAAATATCAGTACAATTGTATATCAAAAAAAATTTTTTAAGCAGTGATTAATTCGGTTTATGGAAACGATGGTGAAAACAGATGACTATTTGTACCTTAGTTAGATTTTTTGTCTGGTGAAGAGTATATGGTAAATTTTTTGAGCTTTTCCGCTTTGAACACACTGAAAACAGTATTATTTTCATTGTTTATTTTACTGTACAAAAATTTTATTTTATAGCTGCAGTCCGGGTAAAATTGTTTTCACTTTACCCTTAAAGTGTCAGCGATATGATTATTGCAATAACGTACTATGTCAATTAAATTAATGCTTTTTCGCATTTAAGCGGAACTATTATAAGTGGTTAAATGCAAACATTAAAAAAGAAAAAAACCAGACGGTCAGTCATCACATTCCTAAACAGTGGATTATGCGGTTTTTGAATATGGAAAAAGGTTAATTTAAAATTCAGCCAAAAAAAAGCTCAGTATACTGAAAATAAAAATATTTTTTACTCTTTAACTTGACGTTATCTCTCTTTTCACTGTCCTTGAAATGTTTTATAATACAGTTTAACACCTCTATAATTTCTGGAGAGTACAGTTGTGTTTTTTTTCTTTTCTTTTTTTTTTTTTTAAGTCAAATATTGATAAAATTATTGCTCTAAAATGAGTCGTAAAACCGCTGTAACTGTTTAAAAAAAAAAAAAAGAATTAATAACAATAAGTTCACAAGTCGGCAAATTCTTTTCAACATTCTCTCGTTATAAGTCCATTATCTTCTTCACCGTTAACAAATTGTCAGCAAACGGTGATCTGAACGCTTCAATATGTTTCACACAAGTATCTGCCATTATGTTCGCACAGGAAGAATAGACAGATATCCCCCTGATGGATTTTTTGGCTTTTTTTTTTTCTTTTTTTTGCAGCATAAAAATGGAGAATATCTGAGTGGGCGTGGTCATTACAGTGATAACTATGCCCACCCGAAGAATGCATCCTTTCTGTTGCTCTGAGTGAGTCTGAAGGTTAGCACAATGTTTGTATTGTTGAGTGCGTATGTGGTATGAACGTTGACGTCGACAGGGACAACAGCAACAGTGATGTTGCTGATGATGTGGTGGTGGTGAATACTCTGCAAAAGCGAGAAGGAAGAAGGTAGCTGAAAGAGGAATACATACAACATTGGAAATATGTTTAGTTTATGCTGTAAGCGGAGGCCATAAAAACTGGAAATTTAAGCAAAACTGTCGCTTTTTTAGACAAACATACATACCTTTATATGTTTCGGAGGGTTGCTCTATATTTCCCATTTATCATTTTTCTTCATTCGTCTTTAAAAACCTTTTCTAAATGTTTGTATATATTTGTGTGTATGTTTTCTATCTTTGCTAATGTTGCATGACGACGCAATAAT